TTTTTTCATGAATCAACAGAATCAGCCAATAGAGTCACTTCAACCTAGGGATGGACTCGGACCGGATCAACAGGCCTGTAACTGGTCCGGCCCGGCCCAGTACTGTTTCGGCCCAGCCCGGTACCCGGGCTCGGTCCTGTACACCCGAACCGCCAGTTTCGGGGCGGGCTTCGGGTCTCTAGAAAGTGAACCGGCCCGGGCCCGGGCCGAGCCAATTTTTTTTTCAACAATTTGATAATTCATTTTCAACCTTATTTAATACCGGGCCAATGTAGGTCATATAGTCATTTTCAACAATTTCAATCAATTCACTAACTTCAACCTTAATAAATTTAATTATTATATAATTCAACGCATGAAATTAAAAATTATATTGATGAATAAGAGTTTACGCTCCCAATATACAAGTTACCAATATAAATGAAAGCAACGCCCAAAAATGATATCCTCCTTCAACAACTTGTAGATTGCATTTATTTGTGATCTAGTAAGTAGACGAAGATTTTAGGTGGGAAGCAGAATGAGTCACTGACACTTCAACAAACTTCAAATCTGAGATTTATCATGCGACCATGCCGGCTTGTTCGTGCCTTTGGGCCACTCTATGTGTTGTATCTCAAGCTGCTCACATGCATGTTACTTGGACTCTATATCTCTATCCAATGTATGTGATAAATGAATTGACATTTCATTATTTGAAAACTACTTTTCGTACAGTACCTAATACTCCATCAGTCTCTTGAAACTTTGTCATATTTCCTTTTTGAGACGTTTTAAAAAACTTTATCACTTTCCCTTTTAATCAATTATTTTGTGGTTTCTGTTATTTCTCTCTCCTCTGCACAAACCACAACCACACAATTTCTACTTTATTATTTTCCGTGTCGGTCAACTTTGGCAAAGTTTTAAGGGACGGAGGTAGTAATTACCTTCATAGTTTTTGTTTTGATCCACCCAAAACAATCTTCATCATTTTCCTCTAATGTCAAGTAGTCTATATAATTTCTCTTCTGCATGACTTTCTATTACATAATTTCCATTTCCTTAATTACTTATAAAATTATTTGGAACATTAATATGAGATGGGAGGAGTTTGTTTCCAACCACACTTGCCTTCTTCCCCATGGGCCATGGGCATCTTGAAGAATGAATGGGAAGATGGATTGTGATAAGGTCTACAAGTCAATCTCACAGTGATAAAAATATATTGTATACTTAGGTCGATGACATACTTCATATATTTACATGAAATAAAAATAGAAAAAAATAAATTAAAAATAACATACTCCCTCCGTCCCAAAATGAACTTCACAGTCACTATTCACGTGGTCAACTTAAATTACTCTTAATCTTTTATTTTATATATCAAATTTTTATCAAATTTAAATTTTTTTATCAGGCTTTGTAGCGGTTTTAATGTAGTTTCTCAATATGTAATTTTATTTACTAAAAGTAATCTGAGTATGAACAGGGATCGGATTGCTTTATCGTCGGTCACGCATCGTAATCCGAAACGGGAAGTTAATTTTGGGACAGAGGTAGTAAAAATTAAGGGTGTGCAAGAGACCACTCTTTCCCACCATAGATGATGTCATTAGATACATCATAAAACATTCATAATTTATTACATTATCAAAGAGATTAAAGTCAGTGTCCGAAGGACTCCATGAATAGGAGTTGGAGAATGGCAAAGAATGATACCGTAGAATGATATGACCGGGTTGAACCCGGGATTCTCCTGCCAATGACCCTAGAATCGGGGCGGGACCTAGGCTGGAAGTCCAGATTTGGATCCACCCCTAGCATGTTTAACCTTTTCATATTTAGTTCATCCCGCTAATGTTTAAGTCTATAATTTTGCATGTACTCCCTCCGTCCCTAAATTTACTTACAACTTTCGTCCGTCCCAAAAACAACTTCACTTTCCCTTTTTGGCAAAGAATTTGTGGTTCACAACATCTCTCCTCTGCACAACTCTCCACCACACAATTCTCACTTTCTTAATCACCGTGCCACTTTAATTTGGAAGAACATTTAGGGACGGAGGGAGTAATAAAATTTCACTATTTTAGCTTTTCAAATACTTATAACTACAATCTCCACTGTTAATAATTTAAAGAAAACGTTGAGGGCGACATTTACAAAATATTCACAATCAAGGAATGAAGTTTTCACAAATTCTAACAAATGACTAAGGATATTTTCACTTGGAATATTTTCAGTCTCATACCAGACCAGACTTAAACAAACCGGACCAGACTTCCGTAGTTATAAAATACACAGAGACCAGACATTTACTAGACCAGTTCAGACCAGACTTAAACAAACCAAACCAGACCAACAAATTGCAGTCCAAATAAAAATGTAGTGTACCTATGGTTGGACTCAGGCCGGGTCGGGCCCTGGCCGGGCCTAGGCCCGATCAGGCCGGCGGTTCTATATAGCTAGACCCGGGACCGGCCCGGGTAGCCACCGGGTCCGGTCCGGGTCCGGGCCGGGCCAGGCCGGGCCTCGGGTTTGGTTATTTTTTATTTTTTATTTTTTTGCTTAGCTAACCATCCCTGACCCCCCCCCCCCCCTCACCCCCCCCCCCACCCCCCAAACCCCTCCTAAACATCAAGCCCAACCCGGTGAAGACCAAACAAATGAAAAAAACCAAAAATAAATAAATTTGGCCCGAACCGGGCCGGGCCTTGTTATGGGCGACCCGAGCCCGGACCAGAAACCCACCGGGTCGGGTCTACCCGGACCGGTCACTTACCGGGCCACCTGTTTGGGTCGGGCCGGAACAGTACCGGTCCCGGGCCGGTTCTGGGTCGGGCCACCTGGCCCGAGTCCAACCATAAGTGTACCGACAATTTAATTCATATAAATTGTCCATTTTTGTATGGTGCACCGTGCACGTATAAATATTAGAGTTTTTTCCCAAGGAGAAGTACTTTCAATATTTCCCAATTTAGGGTAGTTTCAAACATATTTCCCAAACAAGGGTGTTTTTTGCCTTGTCATCCGGCTGGACGAGCCATGTCAGCGAAACCCGATTATTTGTGATTCCAAATCACCCATGCCTCCATGTCATCCCATTCACATGTTTTTTTAAATACCAAAAAATTTGAGGTTAGGGGGAGTCAAACCCTAACACTCCTTGCTCATCTTTGGGTCTTCATCCACTCTACCAATGCAATTAGTTGTTACTCTATTATTTTATTATATACTTATTAACTCTTTTTTTAATATACCATCAATAAAATTTACTATATTTTCAATATAATAATAATAAAATAATAATTATTTATCCAATAAGATAGAGTATTCATTATCCCCTAAGAGAGATATTATGAATAACACTCCGTATACAGTAGCATTCAAATTAGGCAAGCCTGACGGAAACCCCGTCCGGCCAACTTTATTTTGTACTGAAAATGATGTTTACAATTCAATTTTTTTATTCGTTGGTATCAACTATTACTTCCGAGTGTTAGATGATAAAAATACTAAAATTTTCCAGTCGGGAAATCGATTAAATTAATTAATAATTGGCCATTAGATAATTCAAATCCTTACGGCAATTGAACCTATCATTGATGTTTCCAAAATGCTGATATTTCTTTGCAAATTGGCTTCAATAAATATTTATCCTCTCCAGACAATAAAATTTGGTTATTCTGGGGTTCCTCATACATTGATGTTTCTAATATCTCTTGTAGTACACAATATACTCACCTCAAAATCTCTCTCCTACCACTTACGGAGTATTTGAGTTATTTCGTATCTATTTGTATCTTACCCATATAGGAGCTAAAACGACACTTGAGTTTTTAAAAAGATTACGCAACATTAAAACAAGAAAGGGTCTAACAAAAAGGTCTTCTTTGTAATTTTCATGGGATTTGAGCAATAAGAATGTTTCGTGTCTAAGTGACTAACTCGGAATTGTTACCCCTAAAGACATTGCTTCCACAAGTAGAGCATCTACGAGACTACGAGTAAATAACCGAGCAACAACAGCTGTTCACATGGCTGATAAAGGACAAGTATTCGATGTTTTATTGCAAATATTTTACAGCTTTCGTTAGTTTCTGAAATCTGAATAAAGTCAAATAAATTATTCCATCCATAACCTGTATATCTTCCCACTCCTTTTTCAACAGCAACATTAATATTTTATCATTTCTAAATCTTCTCGTAATCCCCTCAATAATTTTGCAAACAATTGGTACACTATTACAATAATTTTTTCGGATTATCCTTCATTCCAACACACTACTTCATTATTTTCTCATCATATCCTCAATAACTTATATACTCTTTCATTATTCATAATCTCACCAAATTTTAAATGGAAAGTTATAAATGTTACAGAAGTAGTACTTTTTAAGAATAACTTATTGTTCCTGTTACTATAAACTCTTTGCCTAATACAAAATTATTGAGCAACAATTGGGTTTAAAACATTAAAAAGCGTTTTTCATTTTTTAGTTTAAAAAAAATGAAATGAGTATTTTCAAGTAACAACTTCTATTTAAATTAAGCACTTCAAAACTAAAAATATGTAAGCAAGTAGAAAAGTGTTTTTAAAAGCTTTTCCCATTTTCTATTACACAAAAAGTATTATTACCAAACCCCACCAACTTTTTCAAAAATATGTTTTGAATAAGTACTACCTATTGTAACTATTAAACAATTTTTCTAAAATCACTTTAAAAATCACCCTTTTTAAGTAAAAACAATAGCAAACACTCACTATGGGGGATTTTCAGTAGTATGGGGCCCTACTTTGAAAAGGCCTATATTTCAGAAATATTTCCAAATGTGGCTTTTTTCAATTTTCTCACTTGCCAGTCAAGTGGCAGAGATGGTGGTGAGGCCCAGACAGCGAACTCAATTCGTCCTGTTTCGTTATGTGTACGTTCTTTCCCACATGAAACATCACCATTTCCTTGGGTCCACACACGCACTATAAATCTATAATTATTCTAATACGACTTCATTTCTATCATTAGAGAGTAAGCAACCAAGTACTCTTCCAACATGTTGAGCGGCCACCAGCCAGAAAAGGACCCCTTACTCATTCTCCATTCCACCAAAGAGGAAGGCAAAGCATCATCATCAAAACGCTCTTATGACGACACCATCGAGTGTTGCATCGGAAAGTTTGGGTGGGCCCAGTTCCTGCAAGTCATCCTCGCTTCTCTGGCATGGGCTTTTGACGCCCAGCAGACCTTCATCACTATCTTCACGGACCTCATCCCCACGTGGCACTGTGACACTTCATATGCATCATCTCACTGCAGCCATGATCATATGCAGGTAGCCGAGGTCTGTGCCCTCCCGAAGGATGCATGGGCGTGGGACACACCGGCACACGCATCAGTTGTGTCTGAGTGGTCCCTAGAATGTGCCAGCCCATTCGTGACCGGGCTGCCTGCAACCTCGTTCTTCATCGGCTGCCTAGTTGGCGGGTTCTTGCTTTCCACATTCGCTGACTCATCCTTCGGCCGGAAGAAAATGCTCGCCTTCTCATGCTTACTAATGAATGTCGCGAGCATCCTCACAGCGACCTCCACGAACGTGTGGGCTTACTCATTCTGGAAGTTCTTGACTGGATTCGCACGTGCCACCATTGGGACATGTGCGCTCGTTTTGTCGACTGAGATCGTCGGGAGGCGGTCGCGGGGGCAGGTTGGGATCATGGGATTTGTATGTTTCTCTCTTGGATTCCTCTCTTTACCGGCAATAGCATACCTGAACTCCGAGTCTTCCTGGAGATATCTCTACCTCTGGACGGGCATCCCCGGGATCATACACTCACTTCTAGTTTTCTTCTTTGTTCATGAATCTCCTAGGTGGCTTTATGTTCGAGGACTAACTAAAGATTTTGTCCAAACAATCCGAAACATCGCCCCGCCAGACACGCGCAACTTAATAACCTGCAGCTTCTTCGGCTCGTTCATTCAAGACCATGAATTAACGCCTGACCTGCATGATGATAACCAGAACCGCATGGGTTTGTACTCAGCACTAAAAGTGTTGCTAAACAAACGCTGGGCTGTACGCCGCTTACTGGCAATCATGTGTGCAGGGTTTGGGTTTGGGCTAGTGTACTACGGCATACCACTCGGTGCCGGCGAAATGCCGTTTAGCATCTACCTCAGCACGGCTCTAAATGCCTTATCCGAGCTGCCGGCCTCACTGATAACATCCTTAATGATAGACAAGCTGAGGAGGAGAACCTCGGTGTTATGTATGGGTTTCCTGTGCTGCGTTTGCAGCTTTGGTTGTGCTATGTTGGCAGGGGAAAGGTTGAAGTTCCTGCAGATTGGGCTCGAACTGGTTGCATATTTCAGTGGATGCACAGGGTTTAATGTGGTGCTGATATACACGCTCGATCTGTTCCCGACTTGTGTGAGGAACTCAGCTATGGCAATTGTGAGGCAAGCGCTGATGCTCGGCGGTGCCGTCAGCCCATTGCTCGTCGGGCTTGGCAGAACGAATAGGTATTACTCATACGGGGTGTTCGGATTGACCATTGGCATGTGCTGCTTGTTTGTGATTCCTTTGCCAGAGACATTTGGTAGAGACGTCTGTGACACTATTGAAGAAGAGGAGCGCAGGGATGGTGGTGAAACCAAAGTCTGATATAGCAGCACGGTCACTAATCCCAAATATATGTAGGTGTACTAGCATGTTGATCCACACGTGGTTGGTTTTGAGTTAATTGTGAAAAATGTGAAAAAACATACCCCATAATAAAAAAACTCTTGTGATAATGTGATATACAATATGAATACACAGTATGTAATTCATCCAAAAAATAAATGTTTTTATTTAAAAAACAATATCTGAAATTGTCAAAGATTACTCATGAATTTCAAACAATTTTCAGTTCATTTGATTAGTGCCACCTTTATTATCAGTGACAAAGGCAGAAGTGCAGAACCAAGGTAGAAATCACTGTACTGTTATACAACACTGTTTAAATATGTATATATAGACAATTCCTTAAGTATTAAATGACGAACACTAAAGTTCACTCTATATAAGACACTGACACTATTTAAATTGCATGGCTCACCACTCAACTTTAATTGTACAATGAAAATGACGCAAAGTCAAGCCAAATAAAACCTGATTGAACTTACAAGGGGAGAGGCACCAATAGGCGAAGTCCGATGCTTTATCAGTTGTTGGATCTTCTCAAGAAAGCCAGTATGCCCAACCCAGCAGCTAATGCAGCACCAGCTGCCACCGCATTGTATGCCGAGGACCATGCATCTGCATGAGCATAGCCTGTACTACTAGAACCAGGTCTCTGTATTCCTGAATATTCTAGATGCAATCTTAGCCCCTGTAATTAATATTGTTATTAGTTGCTTGGGCATTTCGTGATTTCGATACAAATACGCTCTCTAAGACCTGTTTTTTTCATCCACCTATGGTCCAAATTTTCAAAAGTACATAAAAAGAAAGGGCAGAAAGAGACTAGAAAATACCTTCCATCCAGCTGACCTTGCATGTTCAACAGCAGCAGCAAGATCACTATCAGATGCAAGTATAACTTTGTCATGGTCTTCATCTTCATACTGCAAGCACAGGTCCATAATGGTCATAAAAAATCATGCAAAGAAGCCCTTTGTCTTTTTTCATTTTAAAAGTTTCTTTTTTAGTTTGAATCCTTGGAAAGAGGGAGTAGGGGTCCATTTGAAGAAGAAAAATGTGTTGTAACGTACAAGAATTTGGGGAAGATTGTTCCGGTCAATGTCATCCCCAACTCTCTGAAGGATTGCAGTAATGACATCTGTCATTCTTTGAGTCTCTTAAAACCAGAAAAAGGTAAGAATCAAACTCATGCATATCAATTTATGGGAGCTACCTTAAGAGCTTATACGAGAGTATTGAATAAATAGATAAGACCCATCAGCAGACAAACCTATATTAGTACATTAGCAAAGAAATGGATAAACTAAACTACACTAGCAAAAAATGGATGAACATGAAGTCATGAACTATAATCTCTTCATTAATGATAATGGTTTTGTTATTGAGAAAAATTACGTATATGATACATATCTGACACGTTTTTGGTAATAAGGAATGTCAATAACTTGGATACTGAAGTTTTCTGAATTTTATAATTGATAGAACTCACTTTTACATGAAGTACAGCTGCATATTTATAGAAAAACTAGTCCTAAGAAGTGTTTGTTCAGTACCCTAAGTGACTGTCCAGATACTGAAAAATAAATGAATATAAACTGATTAGACAAGTATTAATTACAACTTGAACATGCACTAAAGACTCATTATTACATAGAAAGACTCTTCTTTTTCTCAACAGACGCATCAACACTCCCCCTCAAGCTAGGTTTGTAGATATCCTTCATGCCTAGTTTGACAATAAGACTCTGGAACCTAGGACTGTGAAGAGGTTTGGTAAACACATCTTCTGAGGGAATGTAGCTTAGTTCAACCAGCCCTCCTTCAACCTTTTCTTTAATGAAAAGCCGATCAATCTCAGTATGCTTGGTCCGATCATGTTGGACGGGATTACGAGCTATGCTAATCGTTGATTTGTTATCACACCTCAACTCCATTGGTCCCTTCCATCTTATTTGTAAATTTGAGAGAATAATTCTGAGCCATAGAATCTCACACAAGATATGGGCAAGTGCTCTTAGCTCAGATTCAGCGGATGATCGTGTCACAACATTCTATTTTTTGCTTCTCCATATCACAAGATTTCCTACCAGGAAAACACAGAAACCAATAGTTGATCGGCGGTCAACGAGAGAGCCCCCATAATCTGCATCAGTGAAGGCTTGGACTGATAACTGCTCCCCCTTCCTGAACACTATTCCTTGTCCTGGACTTCCTTTCAAGTAGTGTAGAACCCTATAGGCTGCTTCTAGATGCGATTTCCTGGGGTCATTCATGAACTGACTTAGGACACTAACTGCATAAGCAATGTCAGGTCTGGTATGAGAGAGATAGATAAGTTTTCCACATAGACGTTGATACAACCTTGGGCTCATCAGTAGCAAGACCAAGCTTATGATTGGGATCAATAGGTGTAGTAACCGGTTGACAAGCACTCTTACCAGTTTCACTCAACAAATTTGTAATGTACTTCTGTTGACTGATAAAGATACCTTCGGATGAGCGGGCAACTTCAATTCCAAGAAAGTATTTTAGAGAGCCAAGGGACTTCATCTCAAAATTGGACTTCAGTTTCTTCTCAAGACGTTTCTCAACTGGATCATTACCGGTCAGAATTATATCATCCACATATATTAAAAGAATAGTGACTCCACCTGTGCAAGAGTGCTTGTAAAAAAGAGTATGGTCACCCTGACTTTGACTATAACCAGCAACCCTAACAACTTGGGTGAAACGGTCAAACCAAGCACGAGAGGATTGCTTGAGACCATAGAGAGTTTTTTTAGTCGACATACATGTCTATAGGTGCCTATTGAAGTTTTATTAAAGCCTGAGGGAATGTGCATGTAAATCTCGTCATGCAAGTCAACATGGAGGAAAGCATTCTTGACATCAAATTGCAATAAAGGCCAATCAATGTGAGATGCCAAGGATAATAGGATACGAACAATATTGAGCTAGGCTACAGGAGCAAAGGTCTCTTGATAGTCAATCCCATACGTCTGAGTGTATCCTTTAGCCACAAGGCGAGCTTTGTATCGCTCAAGAGATCCATGTCTTCCAGTAAAGATCCACCTGCAACCAACAACATGTCTTCCAGGAGGTTTAGTCACAGTATCCCAAGTATGGTTCTTTTCAAGAGCTCTAATTTCCTCTTGCATAACATCCCTCCATTCTTTCTATCTTAATGCTTCAGAAACAGAGTTGGGAATGGGAATTTCATTGAGTTTTTAAACAAACAAGGCATAAGAAGGAGAAAAGTTATCAAAGCTAACAAAATTGGCAAGAGGATATAGAGGTGTTTTAGTACATTGGCGTACACCTTTGCGTAAAGCAATTGAAGGAGAGGGTGGTGAAGAAGAGTCATTACCTGGGTCAGCCGATTGGTCCAGCGTTAGCAATGGAGTGAACCTATGTTTCCTTGAATATACTTTTGTCACTGATGGAGGAGAAAGTGAGTCATGAGTGGAGGATTTAGTAGATGTAGGAATGGGGTGGTCTTGTGGTGAAGTTGATTCAGGTTCAGGAGATGTTGAGGACTGTTGTGAACTAGGTGACGTGAATGAGATATCTAAAGATGGTGACGTGTGATTAAGTGGTGATGGTGATGGGATGTTTACTCATAATGGCTTAGAAGGGTAGGAGATTGTATGTGCTGGAGAAGGTGTAATAGTATATGTGGGAAGAGATGGAGGAGACAGGGTATCTTGAGATACAGGGAGAGAATTAGGACTGAAAAAAGGGGTGTCTTCGTGAAAGGACACATCTGCACTGGTGTAACTTCTTCTAGTGGCAGGATTATAACACTTGTATCCTTTTTGGGTTGGAGAATAACCCAAAAAGATACACTTGATAGATCGTGGATCCAATTTCCACCTATGATGTGGAGGAATATGTTGTACACCCGAACAGCCGAAGAAATTCTAGTTTGAGGAAAGAAGTGACGAAGAGAATCAAGAGGTGACTTGTTTTGGAGTACACGAGTGGGTAATTTATTGATGAGATGACATGCTGTGAGTGTGGCTTCCCCCAGTAATGGTTAGGCATATTCGATTGGAACAATAAAGCCCGACTTACTTCAAGGAGATGGCGGTTTTTTCTTTTTGCAGTGCCATTTTGTTGAGGTGTGTATGGACAAGAGGACTCATGAACAATACCTTTTGAGAGGAAATAAGAGGAGACCGTTTCATTGAAGTACTCAAAGGCATTATCAGTACGGAAGCGTTTTATAGTGGTAGACAATTGATTATGAATCATAATGCAGAATATAGGAATAATAGTGCTCACTTCACTCTTGTTTTTTAGGAGAAAAACCCACATAAAACGTGTACAGTCATCTATAAATGTAACGTACCACCGGACACCAGATATATTAGCAACTGGAGCAGGGCCCCAAACATCACTATGTATAATATCAAAAGGAGAACAACTTATTGTATTACTTCGGGAAAAAGATACACGAGATTGTTTAGCAAGTTCACATACATCACATTGTAAGGTAGAAACATCAATACTAATGAAAAGACTAGGGAATATGGTTTTTAGGACATGGAAAGATGGATGACCAAGTCACATATGATGAAGCCAAACAGTTTTGGTATTGGAAGTGACCGAGGTAAGAGCCTTTTGTGGAGGTTTGGAGACAAATAGTGCATCAAGATAATACAGGCCATCTCTTTGCTTGGCAATTCCAATCGTCCTCTCCGTGCGCAGATCCTGTAAGAAGCAACAAGAAGGGAAGAAAATAGCAGCAAAGTTAAGATCAACAGTGAGTTTAGATATAGAAGCAATGTTCATAGCCAGGTATGGAACATGTAAGGTGTTTTTCAGATTAAATTTATCAGAAAAAACAACTGTGCCATGCCCTGTAACCTCTATAGATGTGCCATCAGCACTAGTAATGTGTGTGGACTTAAAACATGGCTGATAATTGGAGAGAAAGGAGGATACAACAGTCATATGAGAGGTGGCACCTGAGTCTAATATCAATTGAGATTGTGGATTCAGTTCTGAAGCATTCAGACAAAAAATTGTAGAGGTTTTACCTTACAAGGCTAAAGAGCTATGACCAAAACCATTTGAGGTATTAAGAGACTGCAACACCAAACAAAGTTGTTGTATTTCCTCCTGGGAAATAGGTGAAAGGCTAGTAGAGTTTTCAAGAGTAATAGGAGTGGTTGAGTTAGCAAATCCTGCGTTAATTCCCCGTCTATCCTGATTTTTCTTTTCTTTCTGTAGATGAGGATAAAGCTTCCAACACGTATCCACATTATGATTGGACCGCTTGCAATGCTCACACCATTTTCCCCCTTCCTACTTTTAGTTCGCTTATCATCAGAAGAAGTAGACTTGACAGCCAAAGTTGTACTCTCTTCATGTTTGATAGTGGCAATGGCAGAAGATAAGGCGGGTAGAGGAGTTATGGCCAGAAATTGAGACCGGATCTGATCATATTCTGGATTTAAACCAAACAAGAAGCAATACAGACGTTGTTGGTTTATATAGTTCTTATGAAGAGGTGTGTCTGCAGCATTAGACCACTTCATTGTTTGGTACTGGTCAAGTTCAGACCATCGCCATTGGAGGTCAGTAGCATACTCTGTGACAGATTACGAATCTTTAAGATTCGTTGTTTGAAGCCATAAGTCATAGACAAAAGCACCATCTTTAGCAACGGAGTAGGACTGCTTTATGAAATCCCAAATTTCTTTAGCCGAGTTCATGTATAAACATTAACAATGTACTGCTAATGTTAGGATCCATAGAGTCCCATAACCAGACTCGTATGTTGGCATTGGTTTTCTCCCAAATAGCAGCATCAATATCTCCTTCTGGTGAACCAGCTTTGACCATCCAAGATAGTTTCTCCCACTAAAATGGTAAGAAGGCGGGATAGAAGGAAGGTCAAATTTCTTTTTTCGAAGGGCAACCGCACCTGCTGTAGCAGCTGAAACAATAGTTGAGTGGTCAAGGTGACTTGAGGCTGATTCGGCTTCTTTAGACATGATAAAAACGCTTGATGAAGAGACTCCAGCGGGAGTTAAAGGGAGAGAAGGGTAGAGACACCCAAAAAATAACTGTTGGAGAGGCGATAGACTCAAAAAAGGCTTAGATGAAACCTGGCTTCGATACCATGAAGTTTTCTGAATTTTATTATTGATAGAACTCACTTTTACATGAAGTACAGCTGCATATTTATAGAAAAAATAGTCCTAAGAAGTGTCTTTTCAGTACTCTAAAAGATTGTCCAATGAAAAATAAATGAATACTACCTCTGTCCCATAAAATTCTTCACATTTTCCTTTTTGGGTCGTCCCAACAAATTCTTCTCACTTACAATTTTTGGACAATTTGTGTGGTTCACATTCATTTCACATTTTTCTTACACAACTACAACAACACATTTCCACTTTATTCCACTTTCTTAATCTCCGTGTCAAGTCAAAGTGGGAAGAATTTTCTGGGACGGAAGGGAGTGTAAACTAATTAGACAAGTATTAATTACAACCTGAACATGCACTAAAAACTCATTATTATAGAAAAAGACTCCTCTTTTTCTCAACAGATGATACACAATTAAAAGTACTCTAACTCCAATAAGACATTTATAAATGAGAAACATAACAGCACGCATGCTACAGCTAATTAAAAGTACTCTAACTCCAATAAGACATTTATAAATGAGAAACATAACGGCACGCATGCTACAGCTAATCATGTTATGAGTGTTCAACGAAACTCTTAAAAAGATTGGTAGCTAGAAAAACTTCGACATCCAGATAAAGAATTTCAAACATGGAACTCCAACTTGTCTTCACAAATTACAAACAAGAAAAAGGAAGCATGGACGAACCATGACAGAGCCAATCATGTTAGCAATCGTTTATCAAATATTTAGCATGTGCACAGCAGTTGTTCAATTTTGTGTTTCAAGAACTTGATGCATGAAAATCATTTTAAGACATACCACATGTGAATCTGTGCATCCGTCCTTTTCTATCTTGAGTCTTAAAAGAAAACGTAGTGGGCAGGTTTGATGAAGGAACAGGAAGAGCTCTTCCGGTCTCTGTTCCTTCAGAGGCCATTTTTAGAGAACTGTCACTGATATAACATAGAAGCAAATGAGAAAAAAAACGAAAATTTGGAAGAACTTGAAGATAAAAGACATAAATAAGAGAACCAGGCCACAACCTACGTGTCTCTTCATCATCATCAGGAGTCAGTGCCATAGCAGAATCCCAAAAATTTTGCAGCATTGTGTTTGTAGCTTCATTATTCACTTCGGCAGTATTTCCTACCTATTTAAAAGAGAAAACAAACACTATTATACGGTCAATAAGAATGCACCTATAACTAGTACTACCTCCGTCCCATATTGGTTGTCCTGTTTTAATTTGGCACGATTATTAATAAAGTGGTTGAGAAGTAAAAGTTGTGGTAGAGATTTGAGTAGAATAAAGTGAAATGACAAAGACCACATATTTCATGCCAAAAAGGAAGTGGGACATTCATTTTGGGACAACCCCAAAAAGCTAAGCTGAAAATATCACACAAGATTCATTTCTGTTAATGTTAAACAGGAATTTTTAGATTCTTCTGCATACCAGTTTACCATTACTAAACATCCAAATAGAGCAAGATGAATGTGCAGCAATTTACATACCAATATCCCAAATATTCTGATACAATCCAACTCAACGATTAGTGTATAGCTTCATCACACGGGCATTACAACTAAGATTAATAGAGAAAACAGAATGAACGGAAAAGAACAAAGCTGAGATCTCTTTGAGAGGATCTCAGCCCAACTTTCTAACAAATTTCTGGCCAGCCTTCTCTTTCTTCCTGTCTGCTCTTTTATTCTCTTCCCACACGTACCACAGTCCACATCAGCCTATCTGTTATTCTCGTCCTCCACTCCCCTGAATTGTTTCATTACTTTCTTACCCCTCCTTTCATAGACTCTAGTGAAATCCCTATCGGGATTAATAGAAAGCAAATTCGGACTCGCATCATCACTCCCCCCTTTTGAAAACACCTTGTCCTCAAGGTGGAAGTGAGGAAATTGCTCCTTGAATAGATTCAAATCCTCCCAAGAATTCTCAAACTCCGGTAAGTGCTTCAAACGTACTAAGATTTCCTTAGTTCCCTTGTCTGAATGTCTAAAATTCAGCACCTCTTCAGGTTGTGATTGGAACTCCCATTCTTCTGATATACAATTTGGAAGAGATTGGTTGACAAGGAGTGTTGGGAGTAACTGATTTCTTGAGTAAAGAGATGTGAAAAATATTGTGTACAACACAACCTCAGGTAATTGTAACTTGTGTGCCACCGGATTAATTACCTCAATAATTTTAAAGGGACCATAGAATCTAGGACTCAACTTTTTATTAACCCTCTTTGCCAAACTCTTCAATTTATAAGGTTGAATTTTCAGGAATACCTTATCTCCCACCTTCAATTCCATATCCATCTTATTCTTATTAACCTGCTGCCTCATCCTGTTTTGAGCAATGTCCAGATTGTTTTTCAGCTCTTAAAGCATATCATTCCTCTCTGCAGTGAGTCTAGACACCTCTTCCACTGCAGTTGTGACAACTAGAGCTGGTGGATCTCTTCCATATAGAGCCTTGAAAGGAGAGCTTTTGAGGGATTCATGGTAGCTGGTGTTATACCAAAATTCAGCCCATGCTAACCACTTTGGCCACTGTTAGGGTTTGCTTCCAGTAATACACCTTAGGTAAGATTCTAGACACCTGTTTACCACCTCAGTTTGTCCATCTATCTAAGGGTTGTATGCAGTGGCTTATTTCAATTTTGTTCCATCGAACTTGAACAATTCAGATCTCAGGGAAATGAAAATACCATTTCTGTCAAATACAATAGTTCTAGGAAACCCATGTAGTTTAACAATTTCTTGGATGAACACTATTAGAATAGTAGCAAGGTAGAAGATGGAAATGAAATCATCTTATTGAGAAGTAATCTGTTACAAAGTATTTATACATGTAGTAGTCTCAACAGACTAACAACTAACAGTACAGAAGCCTAACAGCATATTAACAACCGTACAATTACCGAGAAGCACACGTATAGTAAGTAATATACACAATTCCTAACATTCCCCCCTCAAACTGAGAGTGATTGCTTTGGAAAGTTAATCACACTGAGTTTGGTTCTAAAATCAAGAAATGTGGAAGCAGACAGAGGCTTAGTTAACACATCTGCAACTTGTTGAGAGGCTTGAATGTGAACAACTTCAAGCTGCTTAAGTGTAACCTTCTCTCTTATAAAGAAGAGAACAATTTCCATGTGCTTAATACGAGAATGTAGGACAGGATTATGGGCTAGCTGGACTGTGCTAAGGTTGTCACAATAGATTTTGGGAGTGATAAAGGGAGCTTGAAGTTCTTTGAGTAGAAATTGAACCCATAATATCTCAGATGTAGTATCTGCAGGGCTTCTGTATTCAGCTTCTGCTGAAGATCTGGCAACTCTCAGTTGTTTCCTAGACCACCAAGAGATAATGTTGGGGCCTAAAAAGATGCATGATCCAGATGTGGATTTTCTGTCTGTGGGGTCAGATGCCCAGTGAGCATCACAGACTGGTAGAGGCATGGTGGATAAAGGAAGAGGTTTAATGATCAGGCCATGGGAAATAGTTCCAAATAGATATCTTAATATGTGTTTAATAGCTTTCCAATGCTCTTGTAAAGGTGCAGCCATAAATTGACACACTTTATTCACAGAGTAGCTGAGTTCAGGTCTGGTTAAGGTGGCATATTGTAGGATTCCAACAGCAAATCTGTAATAAGAGGGGTCAGGAAGATAATCATTTCCTTCAGTGGTGAGTTTACAGATACTAACACGGCTGTTTTCACCCCTTTGGAATCTGCCATTCCAACTTTGTGCAGAAGATCTCTGACATACTTTGCTTGAGATAGGTGTAGACAGCCACCTGGGAGTCTTCTAACTTCAATGCCCAAGAAGAAATCAATATCTCCCAGATGTTTCAGAGAAAAAAAGGAATGAAGTTTATGAATAATCTGTTGAATGACTGTAGGATTGTTGCCAATAACCAGAATGTCATCAACATAGATTAAGATGTAGATTTGGATTCCAGAGGATAGAAAAATGAGAAGAGAAGGATCACACTTGCTTTGTTTGAAACCAGCATTATACAAGACTGAAGTGAGTTTGTGAAACCAAGCCCTGGGGGCTTGTTTAAGGCCATACAATGATTTGTGTAATCTACAAACAAGAGATGCATCTTGGACCTGAAATCTAGGGGGTTGTGTCATATAAACCTCTCCTTCAAGCTCTCCATTTAAGAAGGCATTGTTGACATGAAGTTGTTGGATTGACAACTGATGAGAAACAGCTAGTGTGAGAAGTATTCTGATAGTGACAGGTTTGATTACTGGAGAGAATGTTTCCCTAAAGTCAAAACCAAACCTTTGATGAAACCCTTTGGCCACCAACCTTGCTTTGAATTTAATAACAGTTCCATCTGAGTTTTCCTTAATTCTGAATACCCACTTACATCCAATAGCTTGTTTTTCTAGAGGAAGGGAAACTAAGGACCAAGTATTGTTAGCCAATAAAGCATTATATTCAGATTGCATTGCTGCAAATCAAGGTGGAGAGGAGAGAGCCTGCTTAACTGAGTTGGGCTCAATATGATCCAATAGCAAGGTGGGATTAAGTCTAGGTTTAACAATCCCATACTTGGATCTTGTTTGCATAGGATGGGTGTTATGTAAGGGTGGGGTTGGTGTGGTATATACACTATTCCTAACCAACACTTCTGCAACTCTTATAGTAATATACAATTATTTTGGCCGTATAGGGATGGGCTAAGGCTATAAAAGGAACAAACTTTGTTAGCTTGTCCACAACAACTAAGATTGAGTCTTTCCCCATAGCTCTGGGGAGTCCTCCAATAAAATACATGCTCAGATCCTCCCAAACCTGTGATGGTATAGGTAATGGTTGCAGACTTGCAGAAGTGCAGCTGGGTTGAGGTTCTCATATTTATTTCTTTGGCAGGTATCACAACTCCGGATGACCGGATGTACTGCTGCAGATCTCATACCCTCCCAGTATAACACATTTGTGAATCTTGTGATCCTTCTTAAAGTTTTCAGATTGCCAGAATGTCCCCCACAGGCCGAGTCATGCAATTCCTTTAAAATGATAGGTATTCTAGGAGATCCTTTAGGAATTACCAACCTTCTCTTATGATAAAGGAGCCCCTTCTTCAATTGGAACCCAGAATTAGAGTCAAAATTGGCCAAAAGATTCTGAATTATTTCCCGACACCTGGTATCTTTCAACAACTCTTCTAATCCCTCCCAAGCCTGACAAGTGACTACAGATAAGGCTGTGAGGCTACTCTTTCTTGATAGTGCATCCGCAGCCTTATTTTCATTTCCTTGCTTATATTTGATGATGAAATTTTACCCCATTAACTTAGAAATCCATTTTTGCTGCTCTTCTCCCAATAGTCTTTGTTCAGTAAGAAACTTGGGACTCTTGCGATCCGTATGCACCTAAAACATTCTCCCTAGTAAGTAGGGTCTCCACTTTTGAATTGCTCAAAGCCCCAAACTATAGCTAACAACTCCCTTTCATACACTGATTTGCATTGGTTTCTAGCAGACATCACCTTAATGATGTAAGCAATAGGTCTTCCTTGTTGCATTAACACTGCCCCGACACCAGTCCCAGAAGCATACATTTCAATAACAAAAGTTTTTTCAAAGTCTGGGGCTGCCAGAACTGGTTGAGTTGTCATTGCTAACTTTAGCCTTTGAAAGGCTGCTAATGACTCAGAATTCCTCTGAAATCCATCCTTTTTAGCATGTTTGTTAAAGGTGAAGCAATCTTGCTGTACCCTTCAACAAATCTCCTGTAATAACATGTTAACCCCAAAAACCCTCTCAATCCTTTGATATTTTGGGGTAAAGGCCACTCAACCATATCTTTTATTTTATTGGGATCTGCTGTCACCCCATTCCTAGAGATAATGTGCCCCATATGTATCAGTTGTGACTGCCCAAACCTACACTTCTTTTTATTGACCACCAAGCTATTTTCATCTAATAGTTGCAGCACCTTCCTGAGGTGTTCCTGGTGCTCTTCTGCTTTTATGTTGTAGATAAGTATATCAAAGAATACTAGTACAAACTTCCGTACGTAGGGTTTTAAAATCTTATTCATAAGGGACTGATATGTAGAGGGAGCGTTAGTTAACCCAAAAGGCATCACTTCATACTCATAGTGACCCTCATGGGTTCTAAAAGTTGTTTTGTGAACATCCTCTTCCTTCGTTCTGATTTGATGATAGCTTGACTTGAGATCCAATTTGGAGAATATTTTGGCGTTTCCTAGCTCATCCAACAATTCTTCAATAAGAGGTATAGGAAATTTATCAGGATCAGTTATCTTGTTCAGGGCCCTGTAAACGCCACAAAATCTCCACCTCCCTCTTTTTATGGCTAGGATTACAGGGCTGCTGTAGGGACTGTTACTTAGTCTGATGATCCCTGCCTTCAGCATCTCCTTTACTATATTTTCAATCACATCCTTCTGATACTCACTGAGGGTACCTGTAAGGCCTTAAATTTGGTATGGTGGCCCCTTTATTTTTATAGCATAGTCACACTGTCGGTTAGGTGGTAATCCTTGAGGAGGCTGAAAAACTGCAGCATATTCTTTTATCACTTCCATTCATCGTCAATGTTTACTTCCTCAGAAGTAATTTCTTCACACTGTGTGAAGTACCCTTCTCCTTGTCCTTGCAAGGTTTTAACTTTTAAGATAGATTTCCAAGTAGCATGGGATTGGCTTAAAGTTGAATCTCCTCTCAGCAACTGAACATGTCTTTCCTCTGCCCACTGAATAGTTAACTCCTAGAAGTCAGCTTCTATTTCTCCCAGACTGACCAGCTTCAATTCCATTCCCAGAACCAGATCAATTCCACCTCACTCCAGAAGGTAGAAATCTTGTATAACCCAATAGCCCTTCACTTCAATTGTCAACGTAGAACACATTCCTTGATTGTGGATATTCTCCCCATTACCCATTTCTACATGAAATTCTGAAGTTGATTGTATAGGAAGATGCATGTTTGTGGCCAGTTTTTGAGATAAGAAATTGTGGGATGCTCCAGAATCAATCAAGATAACTACAGCTGTGCTCTTGTCTTATAACTCTTCTTGAGATAATATGTCTTCATTCGTCCCTACCTTACTGACAGTTGGACCTCCTTCAGCTTTTGTTGAGTTCTCCATTTTGTCAGTAGCCATATCTTTTGTAAATGAATTCCTGAGTTTGTCTTTCAGTTCAAGGCACATACTGTCAATGGAATGGGTTTCAAAGAACTTTTGTATCTGACAGAGATAGTATATTTTCCTGAGCACTTTTTGGTCTGAATTGTTCAAGTTGGCTGGAACAAAATTGAAATACAGCACTGCATACCAACCATCGTTTGTCCTCATCCTTATTGCTCCTTTTTCTCATAGCTGCATTTTTCTCTTCTATCAACACTGTTAGGTCCATAATTTCTGTTAAATGTTGAGATGGATATAACTTCAACTGTACTTTGATATCTTCTTTCAGCCCATTGATGAAGATGCCTTTAAGCATTTCATTATCAGTGTTTCTAAGTGGGGCTACCACCAACTAAAATATGTCCCTGTAATCCATCACTGAACTCGTTTGCTTCACACTTAGCATAGGGCCATGTGGGTTTTGTACCATATCAGGCTGAAATCTTCTAATGATAACATCTTTGAAACCTCCCAGGTACGGACAGTAGTCTGCTCCTCCCACCATTGGTACCAATTGAGTGCGTTGTCCTCCAGGCATCCATGATTAACTCAAATTTTTCCTCATCTAGGATATTATTCAGCCTAAAAAACCTCTCAGCTCTTATTATCCAGCCATAAGCTTCTGTTCCATTGAATACCGGTAAGTCTATTTTTCTTCCAGTTTTCATTAACGCCATATTGTTCTGTTATCGCGCCTGGAATACAAAGATCTAGAGCGGTCGAAATTACCTCCTGAGTCAGCAGAATTCGTACTCGCCTCGCGACGCTTCTGCCTAGGTGTCCGAGATCTCCCTCGCAATCGTTGGATATTCTGTTGCGTCATCAGAGTTCGCAGCTCATCCAGCTTTGCATCTATTCTGCGACCCTCGTTCAACATCCAGCTGTGCATCTCGTCAGCGATGTTGTGCATGTCCTGCACGTTATTCTTCACTGACTCCAGTCTGTGCTCCATTTGTCCTCTCGTCCAGGTCATCCACAATCTCCAGGAAGGAGCTCTGATACCAATGATACGAACACAAAAAATCTAAACTCTCATACAATCCAACTCAACGATTAGTGTATAGCTTCATCAAACGGGCATTACAACTGAGATTAATAGAGAAAACAGAATGAACGGAAAAGAACAAAGCTGAGATCTTTTCGAGAGGGTCTCTCTCTCCAACTTTCTAACAAACTTCTGGCCAGCCTTCTCTTCTTCCTGGCTGCTCTTTTATTCTCTTCCCACGCATACCACAGTCCACATCAGCCTATCTGTTATTCTCATCCTCCACTCCCCTGAATTGTTTCTTTACTTTCTTACCCCTCCTTTCATAGACTCTAATGAAATCCCTATTGAGATTAATAGAAAGCAAGTTCGAACCCCCATCATATTCCAAAACTAATGATCATATTACAAACTTACAAATTAAAACCAACAATCCATAGGCCATACCCTTCCAAAGTTCAACCCATACCCTAACAATCTTTATATCAAATAAACAAGAGAAAATTTCTATTTATACAAAACTATTGGTTCCGAGTAGGGTGTGATTCTTTACTGCCCAAATCCTTCACGTATAGATATTTCTTCCTGAATTTCATGGCTCTGAGAAGATTTGAGTTTCCTCTGAATGCTCTGGAAGTATCACTGTCATCAAATTCTAGCAATACACACTCTCTTATGGACCAGAAACCTGACCCATGTGGCCAAGTGGTTCTGACCACCTAAAAATCAAAAGTTTACTAGAGTACTGCTAAATTACAATGTTTCCAAATTGTGCTGTACATTGAGCATGGCATTACATCTGATCTGATCAATGACATCCTTGAGGGAGTAGGACTCTGCAGAGGCTGTGCAGGTGGTTATTGAGGTGAAGGTGTGAGGGTACAAACTCAGCAGAGAAGTTGAGTGTTATGGGAGACTGTGATTACGGGAGTAATTGGCATCAATTACAATTCTGAAAGTGATTGTCTTGCCTCATTAATCACAATCTAATTATTTTTGTAAAGGAAAGAATACTTTAATCTAAAGACATGTTGGAATTGACTAAAGAGGGAGCTTTCCTTTTCCAGCTTTCCTCATTTCCCTTCTGCTCAGTCTGTTCCTTATTCAGCCACAATAGGAAAACCCAGCAATTATTCCTCTTCAGAAGCTCACACGCTTGTAACATGTAGCTTATCAAATAGACATATCATAGAGAGCGGGCGTGGCAAAGCACCATGTCGAGAGTGGCAAAGGTGGCATTACAGCATATCAGGTTGCATTTGAGGGAGGAACGAGAAATGTTATAACAAGATATGTCATCCACATGTCCAACAACAACCAAACCTTAGTCCCGAAAGAGTTTGGGGTCAGCTAACATGAATCGACTTATGCAATTGGAGTTAAAAAAAGATAAAAAGAGATCAATCATTCCACATGTATACTCTCCCTCCACTTCGACATATGAAATCGGGGTTAAAAAAGATGTAAAGAGATCAGTCATCCACATGTACAAACTGAAATAAATGGGGAGGGATTATGATACAACTATACACGGATGATGATATCATTGATATGTCGTCAATGTGTACAAGTATTTGTGTTATTGGCTGAGATGCGGCATTGGCAAGCCAGTGACCTAATAGTTACCAACTATCTAGGTTCAAAGAATTGACTCGCGTTTTCTTAGGGTTGGAGTCTGTTGGAGCTTTGTTAAAGTTGAAGGGCCCAATTGTTGTTTCGGGCTCTCGGTATAGTTGGGGGACTATTATACCACTTACCTTTTTTAATACTAAACAAGTGGACATATTTTGGTATATTTATAGGACTGGACATAGTTCAAATTATATATTCTGATTTTATGTGATCCTATTGCTTTGGTAGGCATTTAAGTTAAGTATGATTATATGTATTGATAAATGACTTACAGTGGCTATAGCTGCATGAGTGATATGAAGCACATCAACAACAGCAACAACTGCTCCATCTGCAACCAACGGTACATAATAGGGTAAGGATAAATAACACAATTTACCAAACACTGTGTTATACATGAAGATATATTTACCTGTATCAACAACCGGGAGGTGTAAAAACTTGCCATCATGCATTGTGTGTAAAGCATCAACAATAGGTGTATCAATACTTGCACATTCTGGATTAGGGGTCATGACCTATATTTTATAGCAAAATCAATGTAATAAAAAAAAGGTCAGATATGAAGCTTGGTTGTATAATGCTTCCAATAAACAACAACAACAACATCCAAGCCTTAGTCCCAAAAGATATTGGGGTCGGCTAATATGAATCGATACATGATATCACCACCAAAAGGAAAAGAAAGAAAATAAAGATAAAAAAGATAGTTATTATAAAAAAATATAAAAAGAGATGAATATACATAAAAATGATAAAATAAAAAGGATACAAATAATGCTTATATATATATAAGGATAAAAAACAAGGGAAAAAAGATGAGGGGAAAAGATGATACGAGATCACTCCTCCACACGAATACCCGTCCTCCACTTAGCTCTCTCCAAAGTCATGCCCTCATCCAAATCCAGAAGAAGCATATCACTTCGAACTCCCCTAACCCACGTCTGTTTAGGTCTTCCTCTCCCTCTCTTCCCTGCCTCTTCTCCACACATCTCAACTCGTCTGACAGGTGCATCACTCGGTCTTCTACACACATGACCAAACCACCGTAGGCGCGACTCCCGCATCTTGTCTTCAATAGGTGCTACTCCCACCCTTTGTCTGATTGTCTCATTCCTCACGCGGTCTTTCCTAGTATGCCCAAACATCCAACGCAGCATACGCATCTCTGTCACACTCATCTTTTGAATGTGACATTGTTTCACCGCCCAACACTCTACGCCATATAGTAATGCAAGCCTAATTGATGTCCTATAAAATTTACCCTTTAGTCTAGTCGGCATACCTCGATCGCATAGAAATCCTGACGCACTCTTCCACTTCATACACCATGTTCTGATTCTATGGGATACATCTCCATCTAACTCACCGTTCTTCTGAATTATGGAGCCCAAGTAACGGAACATATCGCTGACCGGTATCTCCTTACCATCCAGAGTAATTCTGCTATTACCACTGCTTCTACCTCCACCAAACTTGCACTCCATGTACTCTGTCTTGCTCCGACTTAGTTTGAAACTCTTATTCTTCAATGTTTGTCGTCATACTTCCAACTTTGCTTTAAGACCTGATTGCGTCTCATCAATCAATACAATATCATCGTCAAACATCATGCACCGCGGTATATCATTTTGAATTGACTTCGTAAGTTCATCCATGACTATGGCAAATAAGAAAGGGCTCAGAGCCGATCCTTGGTGCACTCCGATAGTAATAGGGAACTCTTCAGTCCTCCCTACACTAGTACGGACACTTGTAGTACAATCCTCATACAAATCCATGATGATGCTGATATACTTGTGTGACATGCCTTTCCTAGTTAAGTCTAGCAACAAACCTTGCACAAAATTGTCTCAAAACTCTAGCATTTGTTAAGTCTAGCACGGCATTGTACATTACTTAACAGGAATGTATTAACTAGTAAGTGGATGTGTTTTTGTGAAGAGAAGCTCAACTTTTTTATAACTTTGTGCAAATGCCCGGGAGAGTTGCATATCAACTTGTTGCTGCTAATGGGTATAAGGAACACAGTGAAAACAAAAAGATAAGAAGTATCCTTCTCATAAAGTAACATTTTGGTTCTTTCTGTAATACATTCTTGGTTGTTTTATTAGCAAAGTAAAGCTCCGTTTACTTATAGGGATTACATGTATGGAAGTGCCCCATAAGAAAACTATGAAATCTTAGGGTCAATTGGTTATCTTCTCTATTTCCAAAAAACAAGAACATGATTATGAAAATCTGATAAAATGGTTCTCAATTCTTTTGGTTGTTTCCAAGATTAAACAGATTAGCATAAGTGCATAACTATGACTACTAGTTCATTGTACAACTTATATCATACTCCCTCTGTCCCTAATAATTTTGCCAAATTTGACCGGCACGGGGATTAATAAAGTAAAAATTGTGTGGTTGAGGTTTGTGAAGAGGAGAGAGAATTAACTGGAACCACAATTTCTTTACTTAAAAAGGAAAGTGGTAAAGTTATAAGGGATGGAGGGAGTATAAACTTTAAATCATCAAGCAAAAAAACTAAAAGTTGATCGCAATATCAAAGGAGCCCCGGGGTAAATCGGATGAGAACAGAAAGTAATAATCAACGGTAGAAACCGTTGCCCAGAGCCAATAGGCTGAAATCCAATTTTATTAACCGACGAGCAAGAATGAATCCTAACAAGGGGTTTAAAATACTCATTTGCTAATTCCCAAACTAGGAAACAAAATCATAAAAATCCTAATCAACTCCAAATAGGAAATAGACAAAAAGAGATCCTAATTAACTCCAAATAGGAAACAAATAATAGAAATCCTAATTAACTCCAAATAGGAAACAAATAATAGAAATTCTAACTAACTCCAAATAGGAAACAAATCAGGAAAATTATAAAGAAATAAAAATTACTTAAACGGACCGCAACCAGCTCACGAATGTGGGTTCAAGCCCATCTCCGCCTTCAGTAAACCCACAGGGGCCTTTGCCCCCTTCCTCCAAGCCCAGATTATGGTTTACATCAACTTCATCCCCTTTCGAAACAACCTTGCCCTCAAGGTTGAAATCCGCAAACCGGCTCACATTTGTCCCCGAAGGCTGCCCAGTATCTTTAGGAAAGCTGCCACTCGATCCCCTTATGCTGCCACCTCTCATGGCCGTGCTGTTACCCCCACTTGGTCGCGAAAAACTGCCCGAACGCAATCCTGTAATTTAGGATTGGCTCCTCTCGCCTCCATTCTGAAAGGACATATTGTCCTCAATATCTCTGGTCAATTCCATTACTATCTTTAGATTGTTTGGCCTCAGCAACCATAAAGATCCCTGAATCGTCCCTTTCAGCCCATTCAGGAAATACCCCAGATAATGATCATCAAACAGCACGGGAATCTGGTTGGCCAATTGAACGAATAGGGTATATTCCTCAACTGTACCCATCTGTTTGACCCCGTACAGCCGGCGGCTGCCCTTGAACCGGGAGCCGAAGCGAGCCACCAGTGTTTGTGTGAATTCCTCCCAGGCCATGCCCATGTTCTGTGCTTTCAACCAGGTCACCCAATATAGAGCAGCCCCTTCCATGGCAACCACAGATGCTGCCACTTTTCTTTTTGGTGCGGTCCAATTTAGTTCAAACTACTGTTCAACACTAGCCACCAAACCAATAGAGTCTATGCCATCGAACGAGGGCAGCAAGGCGAGTGCGATCCTGCGCAAACCACTGTCGCAAGTGTGGCGCCGATGTTGCAACGCTGGGGAATGCGGCCGACGAGGGCTCCTTCATCTCCGGCGGTGCGAGCGCCTTCGTGAGCGCAGCCAGGGAGGCTGCGATCTCCGCCGGTTGGACGTCTTGCGCGTCCAGTTTCTGATTCATCAAGGCCTGTTCGGCCTCCAACTCCGTCAAACGATCGCTGTGAGATCTCATCATTCCGGCGGAAAAGGGATCCGGGGGCGGACTGATGAGAACGGAAAATAAAAATCCACGGAATAATCCGTTGCTCAGAATAATCAATGGTAGAAACCGTTGCCCAAAGCCAATTGGCTGAAATCTAATTTTATTAACTGATGAGCAAGAATGAATCCTAACAAGGGGTTTAAATACCCATTTGCTAATTCTCAAACTACAAAACAAAATCATAGAAATCCTAATCGACTCCAAAGATAAAATTGAATAATAAAGATCCTAATTAACTCCAAATAGGAAACAAATAATAGAAATCCTAATTAACTCCAAATAGGAAACAAATAATAGAAATCATAATTAAATCCAAATAGGGAACAAATCAGGAAAATTACAAAGAAATAAAAATTAATTAAACGGCTCACAACCAGCCCGCGAAGGTGGGCTCAAGCCCGTCCCCGCCTTCAGTAAACTCACGGGGGCCTCTGCCCTCTTCCTCCAAGCCCAGATTCTGCTTTATATCAAAATCACTTCCTAAAAGAGATGAACTATTAAGCAAACCAAAGAAGGTAAAAAAATCAATCAGTCATATTTCTCCTCCATTTTTACTTGATTTTTTTCTCATTTTTTCCTTGATCACATGTAACATGCATCCTTAGACTCCCTCCGTCCCTATTTATTGTTCCCACTTCAAATTGCACACATATTAAGAAAATGACATTGTTTGGCACTGTTTGAACACTGTTTGGCACTCTTTGACGCTATTTGGTTTACCAAATAAGGAAAGGGGACTTTTTAAAGGCACGTCCAAAAAAGGAAAGTGGGAACATTAAATAGGGACGGAGGGAGTATGTATTAAGGTCACATGTATATCATTGCATTTCATATAAAGATGCACTAAAGGATTAAGTATCACACATACAAACCGGTGATTGAGGAAATAAAATTTTAAACGTAATCAGATTGTGTAGTACTCAAAGAGACGTCAAATATTGTACAGCTCATCTCAGCATTGATCGAATAGTTTTTGACTTTCATGAGGAGAGGTTTCAAGTAATTACAAAATTACTGAAGTATAATTGACGCAAGCTTGGAAGCCTCAAGTATCAACAACAAGAAAAATGGACAGGAGAAGGCAGAAAGCTCTGAATGGGTTAATAGTAAGGGGTGACTTGACTGATTTAGAGAAGATATGAAAAGACTAACAATTGGAAAGGAATGTAAGAGGAAGTAGCAACCATCTACACAGCCGAAGGCACTAATATTGGCCATCAGCATAAGAACCGGATGTGAATAGACAAACACATTGGTCATTGATCAATGACACAAATCCAAAATACTGACTAATTAATGGTCATCATCTCATCGAAGGTTCGTGTGGGGGTCACATAAGTAATCTAGAATTCATTATTAGTGATATTTGAAAAATAATGAGAAAAAATCATCTTTGATTTCCTGCAACAAAAAATGGACATATAAAGACACACAGTAGTTATTCATATCAGTACCAAAAACCCTAAATAGAAAACATTACGTTATCGGTGAGCGAAGTGAGACATTTGAAAAAATAATGACAAATCGTCTTTATTACACTTCTTGGAAACATCGAAGTAAATAAAAGAACACATAAAGACACATCATAGTCATACATAATTACATATTTGTACCTCATAAGTCATATCCAAAAAAGAAGACATTGAATTAGTAATGAGCGAAGAGTTACCTTCTCCACTAGAGTACACTCAGGAGGAAGATCTTGTGCTATGACTCTCATCAATATGTCTTTTGAACTAAAAAAGAATATGGATTCAAGCTTTAAGCATAAAGTGAGAATGGAAATAATCAAAAGCATGCCATTAAAAACTCACGTAAAAATTCCGAGTGGTTTTCTGTCAAATGTTACAACAGCAGAGTTTATTCGAGAATCGAGCATTTTCATTGCAGCATCTAGAACAGTATCACTTGGTGCAACAGTGACAATCCTAGCAACATCATGACATAAGTCATGCACTATTACTCTTGCAAATGATTAACTGCAAATAGCATGCCAACACACCAGAAAGAAATTTGAAGTAATGATATTACCTACTTTGAATTTTCTGGAATAATTGTACGCAAGGAGGGTCTAAACATCCTCTCTCGCAGTGTTTCGATAAATGTATTGCCTGTATCAAGGAAGCATGTGAACATATGGATCACTTAGAATGTTAATGATAGGTAACGGAAGAATTGCAGTAGATAATCTTAGTTTATTAATGAAGGTTTATGGATGGAATACAGAAAAAAACGTAAATGAAGGTCGAGACTCTTCGAGTGGTCTCACACTCCCAATTTCCCAGTCCCGATCCCAAATTCTGCTTGTCCCTCTCCTCCCCACTCACACTTATTTAGTCTATTTCTAATGGGCCAGCCCACTTCTATTTAGTTGTAAGGCCTAAAACCCTATTATTGACCAATATTAAAATAATTGGATAAGACTCTATCCAGGTCCCTAACATCACTCCCCCCTTGAACTTCCACCTTGTCCTCAAGGTGGATGATAAGAGACTATTTTTGCATTAGGTTCCAGCAAGTTTTCAGCTTCATCCTGTTCATATAACTGATCGTCTGTGCCCTTCTCTTCTTCTGCCTCTTCCATCAAGATAAATTGATAATGTTTCATTCCACAAACATGCTCTTTGCCCCATTTGTTTCCACATTTGAAGCATAGGCCCTTCTTGCTTCTTTCTTCTAAGTCCGCTTGTGTCAACCTTTGGCCACCTTCCCATGTCTTATTCGGTTTTGACGATTCCTCCCGTTTGCTCTCTGAAAGTGTTCTCTCCGGAGTTAAAGCAGGTGTTCTTCCCTTTGTTGCTTCCATCGAGTTCCAGGGTCTAACCCTTTTTCTTCCCTGTTCCTTCCAGCCTGTGTTGTCTTCTTCTTTATTTTTTTTCTCCTGTCCACACCTTGTTCTTCTGCTCCAACTACAAAGCCTTGTCCATCAGTTCAGTTAACCCACTGGTCTGGTGCAACTTCAATTCCGTGCTGATTTCTTTTTTAAGGCCATTGAGAAACACTACTTTTAACATCCCTTGGCCAGCCAGTTTGAGATGAGCTACAACCATTTCAAAGTGATCCCGGTATTCCATTACTGAATCGGTTTGCCTAATACTGAGCATAGGACCAAACGGATTCTGTATTAGGACAGGTTGGAAACGTCGGATCAAAGCATCTTTGAAGTTAACCCAAGAATGGTCATCGGTCTGTTCATCCCACCATTGGTACCAGTTCAGAGCTTTTCTGGCCATGGCTATCAAGATTATTTCTATTTTATCCTCTTCTGCCACATGGTTGAGTTTGAAATAGCGTTCAACCCTGATAAGCCATCCATATGCATCCTCTCCGCTAAACAGAGGTATATCCACCTTTCTTCCGGTATAAACCCGGTCGTTAATTCTCGTATGCTCAGGAGCACGAGAAACAGATTGAGAATCATGAGGGTTACCTCCGGAATTGGACGAACTCAGGCTGGCAGAAGCCTGGCGTCGACGATTGGTGGTTGATCGTCCTCTTCTTCTCCTGTGACTGCCCTGGACTTTGAGACTTTGCATCTTCTCCAGCAATAATTGTACTTTTTCGTCCATCAAAGCTTTCATCTCAGCGCGCAAATCAGCCATAGATCGCTTCAGCGCTATCTCCAAATTATTTATCCGCTGCTCCATGTTCGATCGAGTGAAGACCATACAAAGGTGCAGCGATCGTAGGATTTGATACTGATAAGTACTAGCTCAAATCACCCAGAAGATATAGCGTATATTAATCACCAAACACCCTTACAATATCTGGAAGAGTTCTTAGGAGAATAAAAGACAACAAAGAAGAATAAAATTGCAGAAAACAGAGAAAGATAGGTGAGACACTTCGAGCAGTCTCTCTCCTAATCCAAGAAAATTCCAGCCTGCCTCTTACTTGCTTCCCACGCTCCATTTATTCCCTTTTCTGTCTGACAACGCCACCTCAGCCAATTAGTTACTCCTGCCACTTCCTTGCCTTACTATTAATTTACTTTTCTGCCCCTTCGTATGTAAACCTTAGAGAAATCCCGATTGGGATTTATTTGAAAAGTGTTGGGATTCTCATCATCACCTCCCCCTTTAAAACTCACCTTGTCCTCAAGGTGGAATTCCGGGAACATCTTTTGGAACTGTGACAAGTCTTCCCAGGAATCTTCACAATCTGGCAGTTGCTTCCAGTGAACTAGTATTTCCTTGCCCCCATCTACACCATCTCTGATGTTCAAAACTCTCTCCGGTTGAGCTTGCAGTTCCCAGTCTTCGGACAAACAGCTTGGCAATGGTTGGCTGGGGATGTTAGGAGCTACAGCCTTCTTTAATAAGGATACATGGAATACCGGATGCACTGCACAGTCAGCTGGTAACTTCAACTTATAGGCCACTGAACTGATCTTTTCTGCTACTTCAAAAGGTCCATAGAACCTAGGACTCAGGCTTGTCACGGCGTCGCCGACTAGGCGTCCTGGCGCTGGGGACAGGTCGCCGGAGTTACTCGCCTCGCCGGAAGAAGAAAAGGCGCGCCAGGCGTCGTCCAGGCGCGATGAAGGCGACAAGTCGGCGCCTTTTTCCCAAGTCGATCGCAAGCCCAGATCCCCAGAGGCCTAGAATCCCAAATGCGAAATAAAATAGATTTTAGGAAACTAATTAACTATAAAGCCCAGGCTCCAAAGCCCCAAAATAATCTACTCGTTATTCCTTAATTAGCAGACGACTTCCCAGAACTCCAGGAAGAAGAGGTCTCGCAGATCGCCCTCTCTGCCTTGTCCCTAGCTAAAGCAGACGACTTCCCAGGTTCAGGCATTCAGCTCTCTTCTCGATTTCTCGTCTCATAGTTTCAAATTTTCAATATCTAAAAATTAGTCTATTTGATGGAGCACTCAACTTTTGCACTCATAAAAACCAAGTCAGTAGCTTCTCGATTTCTCATAATGACTAATGAGTTGCTACTTGGTGAGTCATTGTTTATTTTTGAAATAAGACTAGTTCATTATTTACTATTTAATATTCAAATTTTTAGAAAAAATGTTATTATTTAACATTATTTCCTTTTACAAAAATTAATATTTTCAATATTACTTAGTTGTTTTAATTATTAATTGTGGATTTCAATTCTAAGTTATGTATACATTTTAGTTAGCAATATATTATACATGATATATAATTAAATATATATTATACATAATATATAATTAAATATATATTATACATAATATATAATTAAATATATAATTATATATGTAAATATATAATTATATATATAATATATAATATAAATATGTAATATACACATATAGGTGACTAGCCGCCTAATTGTCGCCTAGGCGGGTGCGTTGTCGCCTAGGCGATATGGCGGTCAGCTGGCGCCGCGACTCGACTTACCGCCGTGACAAGTATGCTAGGACTTAATTTCTGATTGATTCTTTCTGCTAAGCTTTTCAACTTGTACGGCTGTATCTTCAAGAACTCCATATCCCCCACTTCGAACTGAACATCCCTTCTGTTTTTGTTTGCTTGTTGTCTCATTCTGTTCTGCGCTGTAGCCAAGTTGTTTTTAAGCTCTCTAATCATCTCATTCCTCTCAGCAGTAAGTTTATTCACTTCTTCCAACGCGGTGAGAGTCACATCACCTTTTATCAAAGCTGGAGGATCCTGCCCATACAAAGCTCTTAAAGGAGTAGTCTTTAGCGAAGCCTGGTAATTGGTATTGTACCAATACTCCGCCCAAGCCAACCATTTAGACCATTGTTTCGGTTTGCTGCCCGTCAAACACCTCAAATAAGTCTCCAGGCATCTATTTACCACCTCTGTCTGCCCATCGGTTTGGGGTGGTATGTTGTACTATACTTCAACTTGGTGCCCGCTAACTTGAACATTTCAGTCCAGAAGGAGCTCAAGAATATGGTATCCCCGTCTGAAACTATGGATTTTGGAAATCCATGTAGCCTTACAACCTCTTGAATGAACACTTCCGCTATTCCTTTGGCTGTATAAGGGTGGGCTAATGCAATAAAATGGGCAAATTTAGTCAACCTGTCTACAACCACCAAGATTGTATCTTTGCCCAACGATTTGTGTAACCCCCCATAAAATCCATAATGATATCAACCCAACCTTGCTCCGGAATGGGTAAGGGCTGCAGAAGACCTGCTGGGTTTAGAGCCTGATACTTGTTTCTTTGACAAACTGCACAGCTTTTTACATATTTACATATTCCTGTATTTCAGACCTCATTCCTTCCCAATACAACACACTGGTAATCCTTTTGAGTGTTCTGAGATACCCAGAATGGCCCCCAATGGCTGAATCATGGAATTCTTGCATTACTTCTGGGATTCTGGGGGATCCTCTAGGTAGCACGAGTCTCCCTTTGTTATACAACATCCCTTTCCTCAACACAAACCCTGGATGAGACGCCGGTTGGATTACCAGATCTTGAATTATTTGGTTACACTTGGGATCTTTTAATAATTCTTCTTCCAACCCTTCCCAAGCTTGGCAATTGACCACTGAAAGAGCTTGGTAGCTTCCCTTCCTAGAGAGGGCATCCGCAGCCTTATTTTCCAATCCCGGTTTGTATTTGATAATGAAGTTGTAGCCTAAAAGCTTGGTAATCCATTTCTGTTGTTCCTCACCCATTATTATTTGTTCTGTCAAGAATCTAAGACTTTTCTGGTCCGTATGAACCTCAAAACGTCTCCCCAACAAGTATGGTCTCCATTTTTGCACTGCTACTACAATAGCCATCAATTCCCTTTCATATACGGATTTATTTTGGTTTCGGGCTGAAAGTACTTTACTCATGTAGGCTACGGGTCTGCCTTCCTGTATTAAAACAGCCCCAAGACCTTGCCCCGAAGCATCTGTTTCTATTATAAAGGGTTTGTCAAAGTTGGGATTAGCTAGCACTGGCAGTGAAATCATGGTGTTGTTTAATTCTTCAAAAGCTTTGGTGGCCTCCATGGACCATTTGAACCCCTCTTTTTTCAGCAACTCAGTGAGAGGCTTGGCTATTCTACTATAGCCCTTCACGAATCTTCTATAGTAGCTCGTCAATCCCAAGAACCCCCTCAATCCTTTCACATTCGTTGGGATAGGCCAATCCATCATATCTTGTACCTTGCTAGGGTCAGCAAATACTCCTTGGCCTGAGATGATATGCCCTAAGTAAACCAGCTGGTTCTGCCCAAACTTGCACTTCTTCCTATTGATCACCAATTGATTATCTTGAAGAAGCTACAATACTGCCCTTAAATGCCCTTTGTGCTCCTCCACATTTCTGCTGTAAACCAATATATCATCAAAAAACACCAAGACGAACTTCCTCAAATAGGGTTTCAAGATCTGATTCATCAATGCCTGGAAGGTAGATGGTGCATTGGTCAACCCAAAGGGCATCACCACGCACTCGTAATGTCCTTCATGTGTTCTTATAGCGGTCTTAGGTATGTCTGATTCCTTCATCCTTATCTGGTGATTCCCAGATTTTAAGTCCAGCTTAGAAAAAATCTCCGCCTTGCCCAGTTCATCCAATAGTTCTTCGATCACCGGAATGGGGAATTTATCAGGTACCGTGATCTTATTTAGAGCCCTGTAATCCCCACATATCCTCCAGCCCCCTTCTTTCTTTTTCACCATAAGTACTGGACTGTTGTAAGGACTAGTACTAGGTCTATTAATTCCAATATTCAACATTTCATGTACCAGCTTTTCTATTTCATTCTTTTGATAGTGCGGATAGCTGTATGGTCTTGCATTTAGAATTGGAACTCCTTCCTGTATGTTTATTGCATGGTCACAGGATCGTTTGGGAGGTAAATCCGTTGGTGTTTTGTAAACTCCTGGAAATTCTGCCAGCAACTCCTCCCACTCTTTCCCTGGGTCTTCCTCCTCGTTAATCTTTTCTATCTTCTGGCAGTAGATGTAGTAGCCCTCCTCCTGATCCTGTAATGATTTCTCGAGTGTTTTCAAAGAAACCAAAGTTTGATTCAATTCTACACTCCCTTTTAGACACTTCTCTTGTCCACCTTCCATCCAACTAATGGATAAGTTTCGGAAGTTTACCTTTATCTCTCCCAGAGTGGCCAGCCATTCCACACCAAGTACCAGATCAGTTCCACCAAGGTCTAACAGATAGAAGTCTTGATTAATTTTCATGCCTTGCACCCATATTTGGAGTTGTTCACATTTCCCTGCATTGTTTATGGAATTTCCATTCCCCAGTTCAACTTGGAATCTGGTATTGGCATTATAGTTCAAGCCTAGCTCCTTTACAAGTGTTTGAGAAATAAAATTATTGGTAACTCCGGAGTCAATGAGTACTATCACAGCTCTGTCCCCCTTCACCCCTTTCACACTCCCTTTAATCTTGAATGTGTTTTTAGTTTTTATTCCCTCCTTGCTCAAAGAGGACAGATGCATCAGGGTTGCCTCTTCATGGCCCTCTACTTCTTCAGTTTCTGGACTAGGATCTTCTTCTGTGTCAGATGCATCAGATTCTTCCATCAATCTCAGCTTGTAGTTTTTTAGCTTGCACACATGCTCCTTATTCCATTTTTCCCCACATTTGAAACACAACCCACGCCTAGTTCTGTCCTCAAAGTCAGCTTGAGATAACCTGGGTCCTTCCTTCGGTCCTTCCAAATTTTATTTGACCCAGCTGACCCTTCTTCTGTTCTGTGGTCAGGTCCTTTTACCAACAAAGGAACCTTAGTTGAAAAACTCTTCTGGTGTTCTGTGGCTCCATACTGAGATTTAGATGAATGGACCCCCCCTTGTCCTTCCATCCACGCTTGTCAATCTCCCTGTTCTTATCCTTCTTCAGTGCCACATACTTTCTTTCTACCAACAAGGCCTTATCCATTAGATCAGTCAATCCCTTTGATTTGTATAGCTTCAATTCTGCCTTCAGTCCATCCTTCAGCCCATTTAGAAATACCCCTTTTAAGACTTCTGGATCAGTGTTTCTCAGAGGTGCCACCACCGACTCAAACAGATCCCTGTACTCCATTATTGACCCGGTTTGTTTAATGTTAAGCATTGGGCCAAAGGGATCCTAGACCAGATCCGGTTGAAACCTACGGATCAGAGCCCCTTTAAAGTTCTCCCAGGAATGATCAGCGGTGTTTTCCTCCCACCACTGATACCAGTTGAGCGCCTTATCCACCATGGCTATTAGAACTATTTCCACTATGTCCGCCTAATTCACCCTGTTCAGCCTAAAATACCGTTCTACTTTGACAATCCACCTGTAAGCATCGTTTCCACTAAACAGGGGTAAATCCATCTTCTGACCCGTGTGTATGCGATCATGGATTACGGTTGGGTCAGATGCGATTGAAACAGATCTGGAATCGTTGGACATACCTCTGGAACGAGAAGAACTCTCGCTGGTGGTTGGAGTCCGGTGGCGAGTAGTCCGCGATCACCCCCTGGTCTTTTTTTCTGCGCGCGACGGCTCTAGAGATTTCCGATCGCCGCCAACATGGTGTTCATTCGCGCATCCATATCGGCTCTCATCTCAGTGAAGGCTCGCTCCATGTTGTCCATTCTATTCTCCATGCCTGATCGCGTAAATACCATCCACAGGTTCCCAGAACAGTGCTCTGATACCAGTTGATAAGTACTAGCTCAAATCACCCAGAAGATATAGCGTATATTAATCACCAAACACCCTTACAATTTCTGGAAGAGTTCTTAGGAGAATAAAAGACAACAAAGAAGAATAAAATTGCAGAAAACAGAGAAAGATAGGCGAGACACTTCGAGCAATCTCTCTCTCCTAATCCAAGAGAATTCCAGCCTGCCTCTTACTTGCTTCCCACGCTCCTTTTATTCCCTTTTCTGTCTGACAACGCCACCTCAGCCAATTAGTTACTCCTGCCACTTCCTTGCCTTACTATTAATTTACTTTTCTGCCCCTTCGTATGTAAATCTTAGAGAAATCCCGATTGGGATTTATTTGAAAAGTGTTGGGATTCTCATCAGATACCAATGATAGGTAACGGAAGAATTGCAGTAGATAATCTTAGTTTATTAATGAAGGTTTATGGATGGAATACAGAAAAAAAAGTAAATGAAAGTCGAGACTCTTCGAGTGGTCTCACACTCCCAATTTCCCAGTCCCGATCCCAAATTCTGCCTGTCCCTCTCCTCCCCACTCACACTTATTTATTCTATTTCTAATGGGCCAGCCCACTTCTATTTAGTTGTAAGGCCTAAAACCCTATTATTGACCAATATTAAAATAATTGGATAAGACTCCAGGTCCCTAACAGTTAATAAAGGCAGCAATTGTACAATACAAGAATAGGGTAATTATAATGAATAAAAAAGCAGGAAAGCCTAGCTAATAAGGTAATCTTTCATAACCAACCTGACACAGATGCGCCCCAGTTCTTCTCTACGCCTTCAACTGCAGCTACAATAGCCTTTCCTTTCTCAGCTGCCCTTTCCAAGCGAGAGATTGCATCATATAGGCATTTTGCTATGTCAAGTAGAGCAATGACCTCACCGTTTTCCACAACAGGTAAATGTCTAAATTTTCCTGCACCCAAAGGCAGCATAACTCATTTCGGTGTAGCAAACATTATCTCTTAATATTGAAACAATCCTTACCTTGTACCATTTTCTGCAAAGCATCAACAGAAAGAGAGTCAGAAAGTACAAATACTGGATTTCTTGTCATAACCATAGAAACGGGTGTTTCTTTGACATCAAGCTTATGCGCAATTACTCTAGTTGCTACATCCTTCATTCACATAAACAAACCAGAACAAAATCACCACTAGATGCATAAAAATGATAACCAATGTTTCTGAATCTTAACAGAACACAGAATATTTGTTTGAAAGGTGGAATGTTAAGCTCACCATCGAACGTATTTGAGTTCAGTGAAAAAAAATATACATAATACTAATTGTTTAGAACTAATACTATAAACTCATGCAATAACGCATATTGCAAGGTTTTAGGCCGAATGTCCCCCCGTCTTGATTTTGATAGAAGAAATGGTGTTCTTAGGTTGCACCTAAGATCATTCCAGTTATACCTTATCTGTCAAGATCCCACATAATAATGCATTTGAATCCGTAAGCAATAAAGCATCAACCCTACGGGTAGCCATACGACGGCATGCTTCATATACACTTGTTGTCTCAGGAACTGTTAGGGCTTTTGACAGCCGCAGTCTCTTCACTGTCCGCTCTGCTGTCAGTACTCTACAACAAGTTATTCACATAACTCATTAAAATAGAAAAACAATTGATATTAACACCTGGCGTAAACCATAGTTATTAAAATGATTTCGTCTGATTCAAACATACAGCCTACATTTCGGAGTTTATAAAACTTATAAAATGAAGAATAAATTTAAGGGAAGTATACAGCATGCTTTGATAAAAAACCATTTTGTAGTTAATTTTTTACTAAGAAGAAAAACCATGTCAGAAAACTAATTCTATGTTTGGTTAACAGCCTATCGTATTAGCTAAATTTAAAATAGGGGTGAGTGAGGGGTGAGGGCCTTTTTGCATATAAAGGGGTGAGATTCCTCATTCATAAGCAACCATGAGGGCTCTAACGAGATTACAATAGTGAGACGGGGCTCCTTGAAAAAGAGGAGTGAGAGTTTTTTTGTGAAAAGGAGTGAACTTAAGGATGTGTGAGTGAAGAGCTTATGAATGTGTGAGTGAAGAACTTCTTTGTGGGTGAGAGGAGAAAAATAAGGTACATTTTTCATAATAGTAAGCGAGTCACTTAGAGTGTGTTTGGTAAGATGCGAAGTAATTACTCTGCATACAAATATAAGGATGTAAATAGTTTACATCATTTGATTTGATTATTCAATGCAACTGTAGGGAACAAACTATAGGGAAATCCTTTTAAAACATTTTGCATCGTACCATGTAAAATATTTTACATGATAGGAGGGTGGTAAAATATTCTGCATGTTTTTTATAAAGCATTTCAATGCCTTCCTGATATTTTGATAGTCGGGTACCATGAACGGCGGTACAAGATGATCTGGAAAGCAGATCAAGTAAAGATTTTGAAGAGAGCAACATGAGATTTCATTCTGTACGTGGTTTGGTCTTGCAATTTGATCTACAATTGGTGCATTGTAGCGAAAATCTTCCTAATATTGAGACGATCGAGTAGCATGTCCCGTTAATATCGTTATGAAAGAGTCGGTGACAAGGTTATCAAAAGTGTGCGTCTCAGCGCTAAATCGCACTAGGCACAACGAGTATACCCCAACGCTTAGGAGAAAGGGATGCACACTTACACGAGTTAGGCGCATCTTAAGCGCAGAAGTGCATGAGGAGCTGCCTCGGCGCGAACGAAGTCGCACGCCTGGGTTGCCTGATGCGGATAAGGCTGAAAGCTTTTTTTGTTTCAAACTTTTAAACATAATTAGCCCGTATCTTTAATAACACTCAACCCATCTAAATAATAGGGTAAAACAAGTGAAACCTACGTAAAATCCAAGTCATGTATGTAAAAACGTAAAACACTGCAGGAATCGTTGCTCTTTAGTCTAGTCACTCTCCTCGATCCATTTTTGTGTTTTATTCTTGTGAATCATGATTTTGTTTTAGTGAATCTTGGCTTTTTATGCATTTGGTAACTTTGGTTCAATATGATGTTACATACATCATATTTGGTAATTATAGAATAGTATATATGATATTATCTAAGTAATGCGCTTCATCAGAGTTAGGTGGGTGCTTTCATTGCGCCTTGCGCCTCAGGCGCGGGAGAGCCCTAGCACTTTTTGAGCATCTTTTGACTATGATTACCATGGTCGGTGACCTTTATTTGGTTCTTGCTCATTGTACCAACTTTGATAATTCACATATAGAGACGGTAGAGTTACACGCATGATTGCCCATACTTGCTCGTATTTATTTATGGCTAACTCCTAACTTACAGCTAAGAAGTTCAAGAGAATAATATGATGTTGATGTCTATAATCCTCTACATGTGTTTAGCTAACATGAATTGACAATCAAATATTCTATAATCGTCTATAGATGTGAAGAACTTTCGAGAAACTCATAGAGGGTGTATAATATTTAAGAACCCTATTGAGTCCTCTGGGGAAGAGCGAAATTTTCTAGAATCGTGTAAAAAATGTGGGAGCCTCTAGAACATTCAAAATAAATGTGAGTTTTCTTAATTCTTTCAAAAGATTGTAGAAGCTTGTGGAGACTTAATTGTAAAACACTGAAAGTGTAGAAAATCCTAGAGAGTCTAGTCTTTGACTTCAGAGATTGACATAAATAGCGGTGAGCTCCTCCTTCATAAGCAAACGTAAAGAGGGCTCCTTGGATGTCTAGATGAGTATGAGCAATTAACTTCCTTTGGTGAGAGGAGACAATCCAAGAAGTTTTTCATAAGTGTAAGTAAGTCTCTTAGAGTGAAATATTCTCGGATACAAAGATTAAAGAATAAAGCAACCTACTCATATACTCGTAAAACCTTTCTTGCACACACCATTGTATAATATAAAGTCACATTATAATAATGTATCTTTATGCTATGTTTGTGAGCAAGCATACAAGAGTTAGTATGAGCACTTGAACCTTGAAATGGTCAATTTTTTCCCAGCATAATTACAAGTGGCTCAAACACACCCACTTCAAGGGCATTCATGTCAAAACGTGTCATTTACCTAAGCCTTTTCTTGACTACCTCTGTCCCCTATCATTGTATGGGTAGAGAAGGGGTTACGGTAATGTACATATAAACCTAAAATATCACAGAAACACCGTAGCAGGTAGGGGTGTTCGTCGGTTCGGTTCGGTCGGTTTTCGGTTTGGTCGGTTCGGTTTGGTCGGTTTCGGTTTTTGAAAAGGTGAAACTGAAAACCGAACTGCAGTACTTGAGTCGGTTTCGGTTCGGTTTCGGTTCGGTTATTTGCGGTCGGTTTGGTCGGTTTCGGTCGGTTTTAGCATGTTTTTTGTCGGTTTTGTCGGTCGGTTTCGGTTCGGTCGGTTTTTTAACCTAAAAGGTGAAACCGCAAACCGAACCGTCAATGATTAGTCGGTTTGAGTCGGTTTCGGTTTGAGTCGGTTTCGGTTTTGGTCGGTTCGGTTTCGGTCGGTTTGTCGGTCGGTTTCGGTTTTTCGGTTTTTTTGTTCACCCCTAGTAGCAGGTGTCTTCTTGGGGGGGGGGGGGGACTAGTAGGTGACTTTTGCATACAAATTCTATGAATTCAACAACCAAAATAAGTTACTAAAAATGTAAATGTGAACTCCAAGTAGGACAGGGAAAGAAAAAAGTCAACTGCAAGAAAATATCAATGCGAAAGTATGTATTATGCAGTAATAAATAATTCTGTAACTCTGTAAGTATTACGACGGGAAATAGAACCGCACGTGGAGCGAGCCGAAGAGAAAGACTTCCGGGAGACTGAATCAGTCGGCCCTATTTCATTCTCAGCTGTTTTCTTCTTGACCTGAAATGTGGAGGTCGATGAAGGCATGCTTCTCCTAGACGATCCTCCTACCTGACTAGTTGTCATCTGAACATTCCAATACACACCCCATTAAACAGTTGAATCTAATTCTTATAAATCGATAACTAGACGAAGCAACACAAATAAAAGAATGACGGATACAAGAAGCATTGAAAACTGTGAATCATTTCATTCAAATATCAATTCCTACCAACGATCTTCAACCTGAGATTTTGAATGTGGCGAGAACGTGCAGAAATGAGGAAATAAACCCTAAGAAATTGGAAGAGGCAGAAGATGGAATCGTGGCGCTTGCGTCCTGCTTCCAAAAGCCGCCACTTTCTCTCTCGGCCGCAATGCCCCTTTGCTATATTCTGTGAAGTGCTCTTGTAGTCTTGTGCTCGGTTATGCTATTCCGCACCTAAAAGCTATTCCTGTATTTTAAAAGTGGTTCATCGGATAAATTCGAATCGTTCCATTTATGCCCAAGCACATTAATTAAGAGGAAATGGGGTACATTTTGATTTTGAGTACCTTTAATATTTGTGTAAATTCTTTTGAAGGTTTAACGGTTTATATCAAATCAGGAATTGTTATGATTTTAATTTCTAAAACACTTACAAATATTCCTTTAAAAAAAACACTTCTGAATATGAATGTCAATTTTAAATTTGATTTATCAATATAACTCAATATAACTCCTTTTATGTTTCATAAAAGTGATTTAAATATATTTATATACTTTAATCTTCCGATATAAGATCAGATGTAAGTCTCAATTGCGGTAATTTAATCAAATGTGTAGAAGATCGAGCGCTCCACCTATTAAACGAATTGAGAAGTGAGAAGGTGATGCAACGAGGAGAGGCGTGGGATTGACTAAATTATGTGAAAAATATGTTTAGAATATATTTTTTCTAGAAAAATATATGAAAAAGATAAAATTGCCCTCTTTAGAAAAATTGAGTTGATTGAGTTAGATTTGTACCTTCAGCATCACTTATTTTTATTATTACACCGTTCAAAACACAAATAAAAAATAAAATGTTTAGTAAAATGTTGTTATTGATCCAATAGTTCTTCTAATTACCGATCACTGACCTGTCTGCCAGGATTATGGCTGCAGAGATCCCATGGGACTGCAGACCGCTCGGTGCCCTAGTGTACAATGGGGTCGGGGACCTGGAGGCCCACCTGCTTTCTTTCCAGAGAGGACTCTCCATGTTGGGAGCCTCAGGGGACCGGTTCAAGAATGGTTCGGGAAGCTGAGACCCGGATCCATCGACAGTTTCGAACAGCTCTCCAAACAGTTCATGGCCCAGTTCACCTCCAGCTCCACACCAAAGAAACACTTCAACTGGCTGACGAGTGTCCGCCAGAACAAAGGGGAATCCTTATCCACTTTCCTCATAAGGTGGAGGGATGAGACTCTGAAGGTTGAGGACCTTACGGAATGTACATGCATCACCCTCTTCACCAATGCACTGACAACCGAGAACCTTTACATGGATCTAAGGAGGAACCCTGGGAGCAGTTACGCTGAGGTGTTGGCTAGGTCGCAAAAGTATGTGGCAATCGAGGAGGAGATTGATCAGAGAGATGTGGTGCCCACCCCCGCGACCCGCAAGGTGGCAGATCGCGTATGGCCGGGGCTAGTAGAGGCCCCTGTAGTGAAAAAGAAGAGAATGAGCGGAGGATACGCTCCTTGGGGAACTCAGGGTCATTCAGGCGATGTACGGCGGGGCGATTCCGGGTACGCCCCCTTGGCATTCACGGTGAGCCAAATTTTTGAGCCATCAAGGACAAGGGGATGCTCGATGGGAAGAGACCTCAATGTCAATTGCAAGTACCATCGCAAGGCCAGGCACAGCACGAACAACTGCAATAGCCTCAGGATGGCCATTGACGAACTTATCCGGAGGGGCTACCTCGGGGAATTCACCGGGGGACCGATCCCCAAAAATCGGATGCAGCCAAACAAGAAGCCACTCACATGGCGGAGGGACGACCGACTGGAGGCGGAGGTCAAGGATTCCGGCTATCGCCATGCCCATAAGCGCCCTGAGGGGTCCTTGGGCCGGACGGCCACAAGAAGAAGCTGGAGATCAAGGTGATGTTCGAAGGTGCGGAAACCGGGGATACCCGGCGGAGCGAAAGAAATTTGAGAGGGCCCTCTATGTGGGAGCCATATCCGCGCCCCCACCAAGAAACATAAGGCCGATCCTATTTGCTTTGGCCCAGAACATCTGCCCAAATCTCTGGGACCACACAGGGATGAGCTGGTCATCAGCATGGACATCAAGAACGCCATTGTTCGGCAGGTCCTGATGGATACGAGCAGCAGCGTGAACGTCCTGTACTGGGACACTTCTGAAAAGATGCACCTGAGCAGGTCGGAACTCCCATGGATGGATTCACCGGGGACTACATAGATGTTGAAGGGACGATCACCCTGCCAACAGAGATTGGTGACGGACAGCACCGGGCGGCGATCCGCATGACGTTCGTCGTCGTCCGCTTGAAGTGCGTCCACAATGCCATCTTGGGGAGGCCGGGCCTAAAAGATCTTAAAGCCATACGTGACACTCCTTAAATTTAAATAAAATAAAATAAATTAATTTAGTAGTCAAATAAAATGTACAAAAGTAACATTTTCAACAACTAAGCAGATCAGATAAAATTTTAACATCAGTGACATTTTTAATCAGATAAAAATGTTTCAATAATAAAAGTGACATTTTTATAATAATTATGTTGACTAGATAGGAACTTAAATAACAAAAGTAAAACTTTTGTGACAAGTGATAACTATACATAGAACACAAAATAACAAAGAGTTGACTTTAAAATGTACCTAATAAATCTACATAATAATAATAATAATAATACGTATGATATAATAATGCATGTGTAACAACAAATAATACTACATATGAATATAACACAAGTAGTGGTAATAACACATTCCAACTCAGTTAGTACAATGCAGGTAACAGGCATATTCACATGCAAGACAATGCATATAACCGGCACACATAAGTGGGTCTCCAACCAACCTGACACGTAACTATTCCGATCAGATACGTATAACTTATCAGAATGGGTAACTAGACCATCTATGAAACCCTACGTAAAGCGTTTGAACTCATTGGCTTTAAGGGTCTGTTTCACTTAAGCCTTTTGGATAATGATTGTGTGAATTTTTTATTATGTATGTTTGTATTTTTAACTAGTTTTATTAGTTCTAGTTGTGGAAATTACACACTTTTGGTGTAATACTTTATTTTCATTAATTATTTGTAATTTATTTAGATTATGATTATTCTGAGCTTAGGACAGGTCAAAATCATCTCAAGAATCAAATGATGGATCCTAAAGACCAAAGAATGTGCAAAAGGGAGAAGATCAAATGAAGATTTTGATATTTGTTCAATACTCGGACGAGTATTGGTCAGATATACGCTAGTCAAAATCAAATCTCGGAGCAAAAGAACGTGGCTGAATATTTGATGAAAATCCTGTCATACTCGGTCGAGTATTGGCAATACTCGGTCGAGTATGCCTAATTTTCACAATTTCCTGGAAATTTCCTCTCATACTCGGTCCAGTATCCCCAATACAGGATCGAGTACAGAACCTTGTCACCTCCATTTTGCTATAAATACACCCTCTTTCCTTCACATTAAAACCATCCCTTCTTCCATACTCTTAAGCTCAGTTTAGAATAGCATTTCTTTCTATTTTTCTAGCTATGTTTAGTCTCCAAATGAGGAGCTAAACTTCCATTCCTGGTGTTGCTCTTGAAGCTTGTTGATTATTAAAGTTGTGAGTTATTTTCTTAACTTATTCCCTTGAATATTAATTATTAGTTATTTCCTTAATACTATCTCTATATTAACGTTGGGGAGTGTTGCTAAGATGACAATTAGTTAACATCTTGATATTAATTATAGTAGGATTCATCTCCTTTAATAATATTTTTCCTTTAATATTAATTAATTCCTATTCATATTTCATATTAATATTTTGAACATTACTAAAAGGATCAACTAGTTTTGTTTCATATATTAATTATTACTAGAAATGATCGACGAACCGATGGTTAATCGTTGATGGTTTCACAAGTAAGTAACTTTGGTTTATTAATGCACGGTCGTGGTTGATAAACTTAAGAGTGATTAATTTTGTTGGTTAAACCGAAATCGTTGTGTTGAGGTTATCAATCTCAATTGATTTCATCAAGGAGTTAAGAGATTAAATGCTACTATCAAGTCGGTATATGGCAGTGTTCTATACTTGACTAATAGTAATGGTTATTAATGAACGGTCATTGTTAATAACTACCCTCGATGAATTGGATATACTCCTCGATTGAGTATTCGAGAGGGAATAAGTTATAGATATAACGATGATCGACTAAAATATATCAACAAGTGGAAAGTAGCAATGCCAAGTTCTTTTATCTTTGAATTAAAACACATATAGGTTGTTCATCTTAGTTTTTAAATTAAATCATTCAATCCCAAAAAGACCCCTTTTATTTACTAGTTCGTAAAAAGAAAAGTATTTCTTTCCCTGTGGATAGGAACTCTACTTCACTATACTACGTATAAGTGGTAGTATTGAATTTATTTTGACGCACCGTGACAAAGTGCACGTCAGATAACAAACATGTTTTACTCCGGTTTGAGAATGAGGAAGATTATATATGCTGCTGGAATCGTCAGATTTGGGACACCTTTGGCAGTGCGATGAGAGTTACAAAATGGACTCCCAATTTCAGACCCAATGTGGAATCCCTCGTGGTTCCTATTTGGGTGTCTTTTGAAGGCCTACCTATTCATCTACATGATAAAAGGGCTCTATTTGACATTGCTAGTTTGACAAGAAAGCCTCTGAAATTGGATGCTGCTACGGCAGCTTTAGCCAGACCCTCGGTTGCAAGGGTATGTGTGGAGGTTGATATATCACAGGTTCTCCCTTCTAAAATCTGGATTAACTGTGGGAATTTGGGATTTTCGCAAAGTGTTAGATTTGAGAACAGACCGCTATACTGTAACTTTTGTCTACATCTTGGTCATTCAGATTCAGCATGTACCAAAAGAAAAGATAAACCATTACTATCTATTACAGATGGGGTTTAGGGAATGGGAGGTGATCCTAAGCTTGAGGCTAAACACACATATGGGTAGTTAAAGCTCAGAATACAAATGCATCACAAGTGCCCAACAAGTCTGCTACACATAAGGAGAATAGAATTATTATTCATGAAGAGGTGAAGGATTTGACAACCAAAAGGGATGAATGTAAATCTAAGGTTTCTGAATTTGTATATGTAACACCGACCCCGAGCATATTTACTTTTAGTAAATCATGTAATAAACCTTGAAAGATGATTTATGAATTTG